TATAATTTTTAAATTATAAATTTCAACTTTAATTATAACCGATTTAAAAAAAGAGGAGATTTTCAATTCGTCTGAATTGTTTTTTATTTTTTATCCCACATGTGTTATTATATATATATATATATATATATATATATATATATATATATATATATATATATATATATATATATATATATATATATATATATATATATATATATATATATATATATATATATATATATATATATATATATATAAAAGTATTAATTTTCATTATGAATGTTAAGCATAGGTAATATATAGCAATATCTTTGGCGTGAATTCACAGGGTACAGAGCAATAACACCTGAGTCCTCAGGAATGACAATGCATGGGGGGTATCATGGGCGAAACAGTATACTCTGATATGTCCATGGTACTGCTCATGTCTATAGGCGACGGTTACCACTTTACATCAGGTGGGCCGTCAGCTTGTTTGCGGAGGAAAAAATACGGAGGGGGGGGGGGAGAAGGAATCATTAGTAATGCAAACTACAAGTCCCATTGCTAGCAACATACTCTATCAGGTCAACGTCCACGTGGTCCTCCCTGGAAACCATCGTGCTGAATTCCACATGTATTCGTCACGGTTGGCTAACTGATCTGGGTTTCATCCTCAACTATCATCCCTTATTGGTGCCTCGCCAGTGTATGTGTACCCCCAGGTGGGGTACCTGCGCTAACGATATATCATTTCATTATCGTCTAATGAAAAAAAAAACAACTGAATTGAGAATTTCCTTCTTTTCAAGTCGGTTAAAAATCATACAAGAGAATTGATAACTAGCAATTATAAAATATTTATATACATATATAGAATATATAAAATATATCTTTTGGAATTAATAAAATAACAGTACATCATACTTTTTTTTTTATACAACTTAGAATGGCAAACAAGCTGACGGCCCACCTGATGGAAAGTGGTAACCGTCGCCTATAGACATGAGCAGTACCATGGACATAACAGAGCATACTGTTTCACCCATGATACCCCCATGCGTCGCCATTCCTGAGGACTCGGGTGTTATTCCTCTGTACCCAGTAAATTCACGCCATATCCCACCCTTCAAACAGAAACACAGCCATGCAAACACAACTGCTTCACGGTTGAAACACGAATGGGACAGAGGTACCCAAGCAATCGACTTTTGTACAAAGTCTCCCTCCGGTAATAATACTTCTTAAAATTGTGCTACTTAATTAATTTAAAATTCCACGTCGATGACTTATTGCGTGTAAATGTAAACATTTATAACAGATGTGTTTGTTATTTTAATAAGTGGATATTACAAGTATATGACTTATATATAATATGTATAAATTATATAAATATAAAGTACAAGTAAAATGGAATGGTAACCCCGCCTGCGCTATCGGCATACGCTGGCGGGGTACCATTGAGGGATGATAGATGAAGATGAAGCAGGCCAGTTGGCCTATTAACAAAAACCTTATTAAATATATTGTAAAAATTAAGCACTATTCTTACCAGGGGGACCCGCGTGCAGGTCGACCTGTTATGGTATATCGCTAGCAATGGCCTTGTGAGATCTCATTGGTAAGAATCCCTTTTCCCCAAGGCCTATATCCAGCAGTGGTAATGATGATATAAATAGTAAATTGTATCTATTAAAAATCCATAGGGCCAGGGGAAAGGAATTGTTATTAATGCAGACTGCCAGTCGTAATGCTAGCAATATATCCAGTCAGATCGACCTCTCTGTGGTCGCCTCTGAAAACCATCGTGCTGAATTCCAGGTGTATTTTTTTTATACAACTTAGAATGGCAAACAAGCTGACGACCCACCTGATAGAAAATGGTCTCTCCCAGTCAACCATAGGGAAGTGTCAGAATACTCGAATGCGGTACTACTAATTATTGATATACATACATACTAATTTTTTTTTTTATACATATACAAACGAATAAATATATCTAAATAACAAATATACTTACACATATATGACATATACTATATTATACACGAAATTGAGAATAATATAAAGTGTTTACTATATGTGTGTGACAAAGCGACTGTAGACATGTTTGATCATTCCAATTCACTTGAGCTAGTTTGCGATCACCGCTTGTTAGCTACCTGTTAATTCCACTAAACGCTTCATTGTGAACTGTCACGACAAACTAATTACCTACATCCCGTGTTTATTTGCCTATTATATATATATATATTTACTTCTATATATAGTTTTTGAGCCGATTTAAAAAAAGGGAAGTTCTATCTTTCAAGTGATGTAAATGGAATAATAATTTCTCTCTGAGAGAAGGGGATTGTTGGTCATGGAGATCTGTTAGTAATATAATCTATCAGATCGACCTCAACGCGTTCCACCCTAGAAATCGTCTTGGTTAATTGTGATGGAATTCATCACGATGGGCTAATTGAACTGTATTATCATCCTCACCTATCATCCTTTACTGGTGCTCTTCATCGTATAGCGATTGAGCAGACTGGGTTACCATTCCATTACCATCTATTAAAAAAAACACAACTGCTCTATTAGTATAAGCAGGTGAAACGTTTAGAGATGATATATGAGGGTGAAAACAGGTTTTTTTAATGGGTGAAAATGGCATGGTAACCCCGGCTGCGCTATAGGCATACGCTGGCGGGGCACCAGTAAAGGATGATAGGCGAAAATGACGCAGGTCAGTTAGCCCATCATGACACACTCACTAATGAATTAATCGCAATGGTTTCCAGGGGGAACCGCCAAGAGGTCGACCTGATAGAGTATATTGCTAGTAATAGGATTACTAATCCCCATTTCTAACAATCCCTTCCCCTCCCCCCGCCTTTGTTATCTTACTGACGCAGATAAAAATTATCTAGCTCATGTTGCGGTTCGAGATACGTCAAGCTTCCGGTGTCTGATAAGTCCTTGGCTGATGAGTAACAGATACGGTATGCATTGAATCTTCCATCTCAATCTTAACTGATAGGGGGAGAAGGGATTGTTAGTAATGCGGATTATCAGTTCCATTGCTAATAATATATCCTAACAGGTCGACCTCCCCGTGGTGTCCCCTGGAAACCATCGTGCTGAATTCCAAGTGTATTCATCACGATGGGCTAACTGACCTGCCTTTTCATCCTCACCTATCATCTATCACTGGTGCCCCGCCAGCGTATACCGTTAGCGCAGGCGGGTGTACCATTCCGTTATCATCCATTAAAAAAAAAATCTTAACTCATATCTGTTTATACTAATGAAGAGAGAAATGGTATAGTTGACTGGTAGAGAATGCTGTTAGCATTAAGTCCGCCATTTGTATTGTATTGTGAATTTACAGGGCACAGAGGAATAACACCTGAGTCCTCAGGAATGGCAACGCATAGGGGGTATCATGGGCGAAACAGTATACTCTGTTATGTCCATGGTACTGCTCATGTCTATAGGCGACGGTTACCACTTTCCATCAGGTGGGCCGTCAGCTTGTCTGCCATTCTAAGTTGTATAAAAAAAAATTCATTTAGTTAATAAAATTTTTTAAATAAATAAATAATATTGCAAAAAAACTGATAATTTTTATTTTTAAATCTTTGAATCCAGCCCTTTGACCCTTCGTTTAAAGGTGGACTTATTTTACAAAATCCTTTTAACTCGATAAAACAAAAAAAAACTTAGTGTTTTACAAAATGTGCTAGCAAATTTTTCATTTTCGCTTTATATTGCCGCTAGTTTAATTAGGCTAATATAATAGTAAAGTAAAAGTGGGGGAGGGGAGGTATTGTTATTAATACGAACTACTCATCCCATTGCTAAAAATCTCCACGTGGTCACCCTATAAAGCGTTGTACTGAATTCTAGGTGTATTCATCACGATGGGCTAACTGACCTGCCTTTTCATTCACACCTATCATCCCTCGCCGGTGCCTCGCCAACGTATAGATACCATTTCATTAAAAAAAAAAGCAATACTTATTTAATTTTTTGTTATTAAGGGATTTATTAAAAAAATAAATATCTGATGTTAAGCTACATTATTAGCGGGTAACACGAATAGTATTTTATTAAAAAAAATATCTATATATCCGAGTGAAGCTGGGGCGTGCTGCTAGTTTGCTAATGATATAATTCCTTGCAAGCTTGACATATTTAGAATGACCTTGGTAGCTTAACACACTAACTTTGCCTCGCAGATGGTTGTGGATTCGATTCCCTTAAATTGCAAATAATTTTTTGTTCAGTATGTACCTACCCCACTTATAGTAGAAAACTTTATTTGGAGTGAAGTGCGTGTAAAAATCGATCATAATAAAATTAAAAAACGTCATTAAAGCCCATAGATTGCAAAAAGTATCATCAAAATCGGTAGAATTATTAAACATTAAAAAAGTATTTGATTAATTTTTATATCGATTGAAAAATTATTTATATGATGTAGGTAGGTATATTTTATTATTACTTTTAGGTATCGACCTAAAAGTATAGAATTTGAAATCATAGTTAAAAATTCCAGAACAAAATGAAGATTGTTCAAAAAGATATGGAACGGTACTATTAGTATCTGTCTGTCCGTATGTCATAGACAGATATAAGTATAGTAGTTTCTAAACGGTATGATAAAATTTCAAATTTGGTTATTTTTAATGGAATATTTGCACAAAACTGAATAGCTGTTAAAGAGATTAAAATATTTGTGGCAAACAACAGTAGGTTAGTATGATACGTAGAGTACTTTTATGGCGGTAGGAATCGAAATGGGAATTGCTAAATGGTGAAACGAGTACAAAGTCGTCACGATAAAAGAAAACATTGAAAACAAAGTTTACGGTCAAGTTATCTATGGATATATTATTTTCTAACAACAAAAGAACCTATTATGGAACGTATCTAAAAAGTATGTTACAAAGTAACTCATACATTTCGGTTATCAATAATTTCCTCTGTACCCACAAAGTATTTATTTCATAACACAGAATCGAAGAAAATAATAAATTTAATTTTACCGGAATCCAAAACCGTAAACAAAGATTTCTCTTTTTATAATAAATAAAAACTCATTTCAAGTTTGAACACACTGGCACACAAGAACGCACTTTAAATAAAAAAAAAAATAATAAAAATGTCGGCACTGAAAATGGCGGGCGCGCGCGCGCGTTCACCACACCGGTTACATGCAAACTGAACTTATTTGTAAATACTGATGCTTTTTTGCTATTAAACAACGGCATTTCAAACTTTACCTACTTATTGTACATTGTTTGCGCTGAATTTTATTTCAGTTTAATATTTCCACTGACCTAGTGATTTGAATGTCCGTTCAGACCTTGAACTTTGATTAGAATCCAGCAAATTAATTATATAATAATGATAAATAAAGTATAACCAAATTATATTTTAGAATATACGGGGCTATTATAATTAACATCTTACCTATTTAGTATATTAAGAGGAAATAGTTCCCTCATTTATTAAGATTAAAAATATTTTTTATTTAAATATTTTTTTCATCTTGATTTTTTTTTATGCAAATTATAATGGCAAACAAGTTGACGGCCCACCTGATGGAAAATGGTAACCGTCGCCTATAGATATGAGCAGTTATGATTCTACCTCCTAATTTAAAATGCAATTGCAACTAAGAAGAATGCGAAAAAATCGATTGTTATTGTTCAAACTGAAATTAATTTTAATAAGTTACTGATTTTTTCAATTTAAAGTTCATTTTAATAAGTTATACTTAAGTCATTTATTTCAAATACAGATATATATATCTACTTCTTGTGCCTTTAAATTTATTTCATAATAAATCGTTTTCAACCTTCACAAAATTGCTATGGGTTCGGCACTGAAGTGAACCGTATCCATTTCAAAAGAATCCTCAAAATTTGTACAACTGTCGATATCACGTGACATACGTGGTTTACTTGAGAATGTTTTCAAGTTCTTTAAGAATTTATTTATAAGGAACATTACCTTAGAAGGAATCTTACGCCGTTAATATTATGCACACCGACGATCATCTCTCGTGGGAATTAAGTCTGGAAGTATGTACGAGGCCAACATTTATTTTGTCTGCAGTTTAAAAAGTCCCTCGTCTACATAGGCCAAATAACATTGATTAATAGATAAGGACACATCCTTATCTAGTAATCAACGTCACAACGTTTTAGGAGTTTATCAATATATATAATAAATTTGTAATTCAACGACGTCTGTGCGTAGAAAACTTATAAATAAATAATATGAGTGATTTTAATAAGAGCAAAACAATATTTTTTTTTACTTTTTTTCTCTCTGAATATTTGTTCTGTTATCACGCAAAATCTACTGCACCAAATTGAATACGATTTCCACAGCTATGTACTACAAGGTTTTATTAAAAATTAGGTGTATTTTTTAACTATTAACTAACTTTAATATATCAATATCTCCTAACTGACATTAATAAAATAGTTGTAGACTTTTTTTTTTAACTTATAAAAAAATATTTCTATATGTAATAAAAATATTATTACATGGAGAAATTATTTTTTACATCAATTTGAGTATTTATATTAATGATGCTGACAGTACAGCTGTTAACTGTCCACTGCCGAATACTCCTCCTTGAGGATTTTTTTATGGGCGAAAATGGGATGGTAACCGCCTGCGCTATACGCTGATACGCTGGCGGAGCACCAGTGAAGGGTGATAGATGAGAATGAAAACGGGCCAGTTAGCCCATCATGATGAATTCGTCAAGAATTAACCATGATAGTTTCCAGGGGGAATCGCCAGGAGGTCGATTTAGTTTTTTTTTTACAACACAGGGGGCAAACCAGCATGCGGCTCACCTGATGGTAAGTGACTACCGCCGCCCATGGTCACCCACAACACCTACGGCATTGCAGGTGTGCTGCCGGCCTTTTAGTTGGGTATATTGCTAGCAATGGGATTCTCAGTCTCCATTACTAATAATCCCTTTCCCCCCTCCTTGAGGGGATGTGCCAGTTTGTTTTCTGTGATACTTGTGAAAGTTTGTTAGTTTTTAATGTATGATAATGGAATGGCAACCCCGCCTGCGCTATCGGTATACACTGGCGGGGCACCAGTGAGGGATGATAGGATGATGAATCAAACAATAAATCAATCACGATGGTTTCTAGGGGGAACCACGAGGAGGTCGACCTAACAGGGTGTATTGCTAGCAGCGGGGCTACTAATCTCCATTACTAACAACCTCTTCTCCCCCCAAGTGTGTCGGTTAGGAGGCGTCATTAGCGGTTAACCGTCAAATGGATTTTTTACTTCCAAAATTACACAAACGAAGTCGCGGGCAAATACTGGTCCTGTAAATATTATATGTTTAACGTAGGCAGGCTGGTCCGTCCTTATCAGTTATACACGGACATATGGCTGTAGGCGGACAGTCTGTTTGTTTGTTATTGTTTGGCTTGCTAATATTTATAAATTCGAACATATTATGTATATTAAATATTGTTGTTATAATCAATTTCTAACTTACTTCCCGGGGGGAAGGGGATTGTTAGTAATATTTTTTTTAATGGGTGAAAATGATATGGAAACCCCGGCTGTGCTATCGGTATACACTGACGGGATACCAGTGAAAGGTGATAGGTGAGAATGAAAAGGCAGGTCAGTTAGCCCATCGTGACGAATTCAACGACAAATTAGTCACGATAGTTTCCAGGGGGAACCGCGTGGAGGTCGACCTGATAGGGTATATTGATAGCAATGGGAATTAATCTCCCTATTACTAACAATCCCTTCCACGCCGGATTGTTAGTAATGGGAATTTGCAACCCAATTACTAGCAATATACCCTATCAGGTCGACCTCCTCGTGGTTCCCTCTGGAAACCATCGCGGCTGATCCATTGGTGAATTTGTTACAATTGGCTAACTGACCTGCTTCATCTTCACTTATCACCCCTCACTGGTGCTCCGCCAGTTTAAACTAATAGCGCAAGCAGGGTTACCATTCAATTATCATCCATAAAAAAAACTAACCCCCCAGTAATGGGATAGATACACCGTTTATAAATGAAATGAATTTGAGGTACCGCGGTAAAATACTGCACTGCATGTTATGTTATGTTAGTTACTAGATTGGTATGTTATTTTAGAAATTCATAAAATTAGTAAATAATTGAATAGTTTTATAATATCTAAAATCAAATGAGTAAGTAACTGACAAATTTTATAATTTCCAAATTCATAAAATTAGTAACTAAATGACTAATTAAATAAATAATTTCTAATTAATAAAATTGATAAAGAATTTCCAATTTTTATAATTTCCAAATTTATAAAATTGACAATAACATAAAAATGTAATGAAAATAAAAGTGCTACAGTAAAACTAACGATTCGATAATTCCTATGCGGAAAATTTAATACGTCTTTGTTTATTGTTTAAAGGTATAAATACTTAAAAGGAAATTTATGTACATATTGTTTTATGACAGTATGGATAATCTCGCATAGAAAAAGCGAAATCTACGTCACAATTATCCTTGTAGCAACATAGTTGGGATTTGATAGATAAGAGCTATATTTGATCTTAATATCTCGCCTCTTTATACACACTATGCAAACGTAGCATAGATAGAGACAGATATATCTGTATATTGCACTAATTAACGGCTACACGTAGATACGGCCTTAAAAGGAGATACCACAGATATCGATTTAAATAGATGGCGCAACTATAATGTAATTATTAGTTGTAAATTAAGACTCAAAAGAGCGTATTTAATTTAAAATGGGATTCAGAGCTCATAGATAAAATTTAACACAATTACTGGAGCACCTAAAATAGTACATGACCATTTACCATCAGACGGGGCTGTATGCTATTATTGGCGACTTTGTGATATAAAAAAGGTTTGCTCTAAAATTGTATATGTTTTAGAACAAACCTGTATTTTTTTAGGCGATATTTCTAATAGTTCTGTTGTGAAATATTCGATAATGTAATCTTATATATAAAATTCTCGTGTTACCAAACTCCTCCGAAACGGCTTTACCGATTTTTATGAAATTTTGTGTGCATATTGGGTAGATTTGAGAATCGGCCAACATCTATTTTTCATACCCCTCAATGATAAGGGTGACCATCCCCAAATTTTTTTTTTTATTTTTTAACAAATATTTCCATTTTAATTTATTATGATTTAGCATTGAAAAATACATACAACTTTAAATTTTCATCGTTTTACGATCAACCCCTGTCTTTTAATCGCGATTTTTATATTTCGCAATAAGTGGTAAAACAACGTTTACGGGGTCAGCTAGTAATATAATATAATGTAATAATAATATGTTTCGCGGTAAGTTTGAAAGTAATGCGATTATCTAGAATCCACATGAATTAAAATACATACTCATGATGGAGAAAATTTATATGGTGGCTGTATCAAAAACAGTATGGATACTATGTTACGTATCCTACTACATATATGATCATAGTAAAGATCCGTCAGTATTCTACGACTATGACGATATATTCCAGTAAGTTCTTATGGGACATGGTAGGGTATAACTCCACTTCAAGTGAGTTGGAAAAGGGATTGGTAATAATGAGGATTAATAGCAATACACCATGTCAAGTCGATCTACACGCGGTTCCACCTGGAAACAATCGTGTCCAACTCCAAGAGAATTCGTCACGATGGGTCAACTGACCTGCCATTTCATTCTCACCCATCATCCCCCACTGGTGCCCCGCCAGTGTATACCGTTAGAGCAGGCGGGATTACCATATATATTTTAATAAATGAATGAATGAATGAATATTTATTTGCAATAAATATGGTAAATACACAGATAGATAAAGTAATATTATGTCCACATATTTAGCCACAATTAGGCGTGCAAAATTTAAAATATTTAAATATTAAATTAACAATTCTTAGAAAAAAAAAACAATATGTCAAATACAGTTTCATGTCAGTTACTGTACTTCATCTCGTTTGATATTAATACGTATTAGTAGGTATGTGATTAGTGTCAACAATATTATTATAATATTAATTAACTAGCGGCCCGTCCCGGCGTCGCACGGGTGGACATTTTTACATTTTAAAAAGTGGCCATTAAGGCTGCACACGCGACGGAAGCTTAAAAATGGAGTAACTTCTCCCGTTTTCCCAACATTTCCCTTCA